TTCCTTATCTCCTTATCTTAAGTTTTCCCAATTGTTACTTCATACATAACAAGATGTTCTTACACAACTCAGGCAGTCAGAGGGCCAAAAACTAAAATCAACCAATCAAAATGCTCTATTGCCAGTCAATATTCTCTCAGTATTGGACTGGGCACTGTCCCGAATGGTCCCGAATGATACCGCACTTGTGTCCCTTTGAACTTCAGTCGTAAAATAAATCTCTTATTAACCAAACTTGCTCGGGACTGTAATGGAAGAATATCAGCCCTCGCTCTTTTTTGTACGGACCTCGCTGCACTCGGTCTGTACTGTCCAGACCTCAAACCGATATTCTCCCAGTACGGCCCTCACACTTGGTTAATAAGATATATATAATTCTCATCTTTGTAAGAGAGAGGATGACATTTTTAATCTGAAATACCAATAAAATGCAAATATAATGCTACAAAATAACAAATTATATAAAGAATTGGAAGATTGATCAGGGTTCACTTACATTGAAGGGAAAACAGTGAGATGATCCTCATGGCCCTGAACATATGTAGTGTACTTACTGTAAAAATAATAGATGTGACTTTCACAAATCAAAAAATAAATAATTATAATGATTTGCTTGTGGTACATCATGAATACATATATCCACGACTGTAACCAATTATTTAAAATCAGTGAAAAAGGAATGAAATCAATGTTCATTATATCATTCTGCTAATTAAATGTAACATAAGATATACATGTAGGTGTTACATTTGCATCATACACATAGTTTTTTTTTTTATTTTTTTTTACGTAATGCATTTTGGTAATAATACATTACCCTTTAACTCTCAACATTTTACAGATAACTTATCCAATCTAGTTGCCACTTGTTTTCTTCTGAATGACCTAGCAGATGAGCTACTCTTAACTATTCACTATTCTCGCCACGCGTAGCTGGATAATGTATTACGTGTACATAAAACTATTTTGTGAAGAGACGTTAACTCTGAGTCAGTAAATGTTGTCTGTACGTACTCTTCTTGAAACTCTAATCCCATGACACCAGGATTCTTGACTATGTGATACTCAGAAGGAATGAGGCTGTTTGGAATTTGCGATCTCACCTCCTATCAAAGAAGCATATACTGAGGCATACACAAAATTTCAAATAGAGTTCAAGTTTATACTCTAAATAATCAATAACATCTCTGACTCTTAACTAATGTGCAGTCATAAACATAATTTCTCCAAAACTTTACCACTGCATCCTTTTCACTTTCTCTGCTTTTTTCAGCAAGCTCTAAGTGCTTGTCTCCAGGCAACGTCTTTATTCCATCTGGCCCTGGCATAACCAGCTGTTTCCCAGCTGAGTCTAAGACTCTCTTCTCTGAGACAGTTGCATCATATAAGAATGAAATGTCCCTGAAAAATAATACAATTTTTTTTTTCATACAAGGTGAAATACCAAAACACATGTAACAAAAAATGTAGTTCAAAATCTATTTCCCTCTTTGCTTGCAATTCAGATCCTTAATACTTACCACTGCACTCCTACATATAAATGCTTTAATTTAAATGAAATTCAGCTCTAGATAATGTTAAACTAATCTTATCTGTTTTTCCCATATGTCAGGTAAATTATTTTAACCATTATCAAAATCCATCAGATATTTTTGCTTGCATAATTGATGCGTATGAAAAGCTTCAAATGACCGAAGTTTTCCTCAGGTAAAACTGGTGATATTAATTTGAAGGATAATTACCAAGACAGTCTCCATTTGGCACCAAGATATACTACCCCATAGTTTATTTGTCCTTGGACTTTATTGGTTCCTCAATGCTCACAGTTTTCCTATCTGTTTGGATCTCAGAACAAATTGAGTCTGCCAACAAATATACGTGCATATACATTTTCACGTTAAATGCTGGCTTTGTCTATATAGTTCAGCACCAAGCAGAGGCTATTCTTTATACAATCATAAAAGCTTCCATATCAGCTATAATAATTATATGTGACTGAAGTCTTTGTTTACCTCCCAGCTCCACAAACACAGGGTGGCTGTTCTGTTAGATGCTTGAGCTTTTCTCTTCCCCTGGGAAAATTCCAAACATTGGCTGGTCTTCTACGAGCAGGTGGAGTAATCTAGAAAGTTGACAGAAAGAAGTGACAACAATGTTAACAACTGCAGCAATCAAAGGTTTAAAATCTGTACACATCCTGCAAAAAAAAGTGGGTTTGCCCTCACCCCGGCAGTTTATTTCAGTTGAAATAATTACACAAAAATAAGAGAATAATGTTAATGTTTTTAACTGATTGGTAATAATAACATAATGATAATAAATAATTTAGCTATGAACATTCCACTAGGTGGCTCTTCTTTGTCCACTGTTTCCAGATCTAATTGAAATTTGGAATTATAATATTATGCGTGTTTACATGATGTATAGTTCATGCGATAAATTAAACATATACGTTCTGGTTCGATTTGATCAATGGTCGGTCCAAGTTTGGTTGCCTTTTCGTCAAGCTTGCAACAAGTATGTTACCAAATACTTGAAGAAAATCATTAATTGGAACCACTGCAAGGATAAAATTGAAATACTGACAAATGTACATGACTAAATAAAACGTAACTGAATCGAAAAAGTTAAACTCAGAAGCATTGTTTACACCGGTGCATAAAATCAGCTTTTCATGTTATTCAAATACCCCTACCTCTATAGGTTTCAGCTTTTTATGTTTTGATGAAGGCCCTAACTGTTCTCGCGAAGGCGGAACAGGATTCTGCGTCAAACTGTTCAAAATATCCTCAGGTATAAAGTCATTCATTCCAGTTAGAAATGTCTTATCTCGGTCTAAAACATCACTTCTTCCACTGGAATCCATTAGTTCACGTTTTAGTTCATCCGTCTGTGGTTTTCCACCTCCAAGAATTGGCAAGACACACGGCGAACTTGGAGTCTTTGCAAGTTTGTTTTTCGCACGGGAAGATCGCGACGAATTTTCTCCGGGAGATACGTGCGGTGATTCACTTGGTTTCACTGCCGTTGAGACGCTCATGTTTGAAAATCAACCATTTATGGTAGTTCTGGCGTCCTAAAAGGTATGAATTTGACGATCAGATGTGGTAAGAATGGAGAAACATTTAAAAATTCCCAGGTTGAAACTCTAAAAAGTCATCCGCCATGTTGTATCCCCAAAAAATCTCCCGCGTTGCTATTGGTTACTATATTTCTAAACTTGAGCCCAGTACCTTTCTGCTGTCAATGGTGTTCGAGCTCAGTCTACCCCGCCGGCTCCCCGCCGGCTGTCCATGCACAAGATCGACAAAGCTAATTCTATATCATTTAAATTTCTCGGCATTACTTTCCCTAAAAGAAAGGATATGTACGGCAGGTTTTCTGTTTTGCATGTGAATACAAATCTTCTACAACACTATTTTCCAGCGTCATTATGCAACCTCTAGTGCTTTTTAAAGCTGTAAAAATTGTGCTGTATCAGTAGCCGCTAGCAGTCTTACACACTGTTTTTATTTATACGTTTATCATTATTTTTCATAAGGTCCGTAGAAAGAGGTCACAGTGGCAGACAACACTTATAGAGTAGCGTACAATTATATAGACAAAGACATGTGTTACAGATCATTATTCTGTTCAAGATCGCCCACACCATATAACTAATGGCCCAAAACACATTGTATCAAATATACTGTCGACTAATTGTCAACCACACTCAAAACCGAAAAGATACTTGTAATTCATGTTTTGATTGCAACACCTGCCCTTCCTAACATCCACTCAAGTTTCTTTCAAAATTAAACCGGATGCGAGCTCTGGATGTGACGTCACTTGAAAAGAGTACGTGGCAAAACCTCGTGGCGTATTATGGTCTACAGTCTTAAGCGCGGACATCCTCTGCGCCATTTCTTATGTTGTCTCTTTATCCCAAACAAGATGTCTAAGTCTTCCCAAGCGGGATCGTCGCCTTACAGCGAGTACATAAGCAAGGCAGAAGATATTGCCGATCAGATCCTTCGAAACAGCAAGAACGTGCTCCCTCATGTCGCGCGATTTTGTCTGATTTCGACTTTCTTCGAAGATGGCTTTCGAATGTGGTTCCAATGGGATGAACAACGTGACTATATGGATCAAACGTGGCATTGTGGAACAGTCTTCGGAACCTTGTTCGTTCTCTTCAATTTATTCGCCCAGTTAGCGGGTTGTGTAATGGTGTTATCCCGGCAAAAAGTGGAAATTGCCGTGGGAATGTTGTCTTCTGTTATCGTAGTCCAAGTAAGTGCTTCCTCTATCGTGTGTACTTTTTTTGAATTTTTCCCCCACAAACTTGTCTCTTATGTCTCCAAAAGATCACTTAACAAAGAGCTCCTTCTGTTTTGAGTAAATATGGTTTTAGAATTGCTATTTTAAATACTTGATTCTCATCTAAGTCTCTGCTACATAGGTTTACATCGACTCGAAGAGGAAATTAATTGCAAGAAATCAGATCTTTCACTTTCCTCGGTTTAGTTCCTGTGAGAGATCGAACTGTGTTATCAATAATTCACGCTACTTTAATGTAAATCAAGAAGTAAGGGTTTTTTTCCACTTCCACACATTATTGTTTATTGCTCTTTTCTATTTTTTTTTTTTTTTTACAGACTCTTGCCTACAGTATCCTGTGGGATTTCAAATTTTTGCTCAGGTAGGATAAGGTTACTCTTTGCTCTTTCACTGGCAATTAATGGGAAAATGTTGTTATTTTTTAACCATCAAGCTTCTTGCCAAGAGTTTCTTTTACTCTGATTTGCTATTTATCTTTTGAAACAAATGTAAGTTACCTTTAAAGAGAATGTTTGTCTATCAGGTATTACATGTATTTTTTTTTTTTTTATTTTTGTAAGTGTTGTGCAGACCTCTTTGGACATGCTATTATCATTCTGACAGTAGCAACTTGAAGATACAGTGTAAATGGTTTCCAAAACTCTCCATCTATTCTCTAAAGTATGAGAAATGTAAGATAGTCAGTACAAAGAATTACTACTATTTTTGGAGTGACAGGATTTTCCCCTTCATGGACAAAAGTGACTGGTACTCAGCTTTTCATGTCAATATCAAGGCAATAAGAAGCAGAAAGATAATTTGAATTGAAAAACTTATACACTTGACAGTGCTGTCCTCTGGTAATACTAAGTTAGCATCTTGGATACAACAACTTATTACAATGTTTTGACTTTTTCCCCTTTTATTTTTTTATTTTATTTTATTTTATTATTTTATTTTCCCTATTTTCTTTAGAAACCTTGCACTTGCCGGTGCCTTGTTGCTTCTCTTGGCTGAATCACGCTCTGAGCAGAAGAGTCTGTTTGCTGGAGTGCCATCTATGGGAGGGAACACACCAAAAACATACCTTCAACTAACTGGTCGAGTTCTTCTTGGTTTCATGTTTGCAACCCTGATCAAGTTAAGATTTTCATTTGTCTACATTTTGCAAGATGTACTAGGTACAATTTTGATGGTCCTAGTGGCTGTGGGATATAAGACCAAACTTGCCTCATTGGTGTTAGTTCTTCTTTTGGCCATAATCAATGTCTATCTGAATCCTTGGTGGATGTACCATGCCCAGTCGCCATTGAGGGATTTCTTAAAGTACGACTTCTTCCAGACCACTTCAGTGATTGGTGGTTTACTCCTAGTTGTTGCTCTTGGTCCTGGTGGAGTCAGTGTTGATGATTATAAAAAGAAATGGTAAAGCTCAACAAAGGACATATAGTATACATTTTTTTTTTGTATCAATGCTAGTGAAGTTTAAAACAATCCAGAAAACAAACTAAAGACAAAACCTCTTTGTACACTTCAGTACAGCCCTGCAGTACATTTGATAAATGTTAGTCTTGAATCTGGCAGTATATCATTCTAGTTGATGTACAAATCTTGTGTCAAATTTAAATTCTCATCAACTTTGTTCCAAGTTTGTTATGGCTGCAGCAGGAAATTAGAATTGTGGCCATGTTTGAGTTGCAGTACCAAAGTTCTAATGTGCCTCTTAGCATATAATTTGTTGAGATTGTAAACTAGCAGATAAATACATAACTCTTAACACACCATACAATTACAGCTGCATGCTTACACATGTGACCAAATTGTGTTATTGTACTTTTCTCTTATTTTAAGAGTCTGCAACAGGTTAGTGAAAAGAAATTATTTTGGCTTCTTTCCTTTTAGTCGTCTTGATTAAAGTTTGCCTGTCATTATTATTTATTTTCTAACAAATCAATTAGATGTGAATCAATGGAATAATTTACTGGCAGAATTACCCATGATGGTATTGTAGTGATAGCTTCTCAAAATCGACCCTCAATAAACCTTTCAAAAAGAGTTGTAGACTATAAATCCTTTAACCGCGAGGGGCAGACGCTAACTTTTCAACTTACACTAGCCCAGTGGCTAGTGACAACTTTGATGTTATGACAATTTCAGTTTGTTTACTAGCCAAACTGGTTAGTGCAAATCGAAGACCACTTACCAAAACTGAATTTCTACTAATCTGTGGCTAGTTGGCTACAATGAAGTGTCGAGTCCAGACCTGTAAGAGGCTAGCATTCTTATTTATCCTTACTCTTTACAACACCACCCCTGAATCAAATGTTAATGTCGTAAGATTATAGGAAATGATCACCCACTGAAAAAGTTCATTCCTTAAAAAATTCACTTTATCAGCACCTAGGGAAATGTACAAAGAACAGTATGGAAAATGTGCATGACGAAGTTGTAAAGAGTTAAAAAAAAAAAGTTACAGTTTTGAAGATAATCCTGATTTGATCACGGTGCATTTTATTGGCAGATGAAAAGAATTTAGGACTGCCACTCAATATATAGTCTCCCTCGCAGCCGTTTTTTTTGGATGTCGCGCAACGCTCCCCCAAAAGTTCTTTTGAGGGAGCATTGCGTGACATCCAAAAAAAACGGCTGCGAGGGAGACTACTCAATATGATGCTATGTAGTGTTTTGTATGCTCTACATGTACTTCAGTATGTGGCAGGGTTTTTGTTCAGAAATGCAGTTAAAAACAAGTGTCTGTGCACCTAGTTCTTAAGTTTAAACATGTCCTGGAAAGATACTGAAGGAAAAGTTGTCTAGTTATATTCAGCAGATACTAGTTTGTTTACCAATTTGAAGAATGAAAAGTCACAAAAGTCTAGCATCTAAATTCCTCTTTCTATATCATCTCTGATTTAAACATTTTAGATTACAAAAATAAAGGAAATGATCATCCACTATAGAAGGTCGTGATTGTGAAAAAAAATTCTCTTTGTCAACACCTTAGGAAATGTATGTGAAAACAGGTGGAAGGTAAGCCAGATGGACTCAGTTGTCAGGGTGATAAAAATTCATCCCTACTTGAAAAATTTGTTTCCTTATTTTTGTTCTAATTTGAAAAGGTAAAGAATATAGGATTTCATCTTTAAGATCTTGTCTAGTCATACGATAGTTATATATTTTATTTTTTCATATAATTTGTTTAATCTTTGGAAGAGAAATAAATGTGTACATGTAGTCTGTTTGCAATTACTAATTTCATTTCTCCAACTAGTTCTGTCATTAGTAGGAAACTTCACACCCAGTTTGATCAATTATAGTAAAGACAAACTACAGAAATATGTAGGATAATTCCTATACTTATTAGACCACTTCATACTTTGAATCAATCAAGAAAACTAACTGTTCAAATTGTAAGGTTACTAATAAAAAATTTAATGTTGATTATATTTGCAACATCTGATGTTTAAGGTACTTAAAGGAATCTAACAAGGAAAAGATAAGACTGCAAACCAATTTCCCCTCTCAACATGTGGCTTTGTAGCACCCAACTCATATCTGAGAGGCATGGGTTAAAATTGTGTTGGAGCCTGATTTCTTTCAGGCTTCCTTCCTGCAATTGCTTTTAAAGTGCAGCTCACCTGAGAGAATCATGGTTTTACTTGATTTTAATCTGCAGGTTAAGTGAAATTTACTTCATTTAAAATTGTGATCAGATTCCTTCACAGAAATGATAAGCCCTCAACAATTATTTGGCTGTGTAGCCAAGTTTGATATTGGTGCCCAGCTAATATATGGAAGCACAGGGTTAAAATCCTGTCAAAGGCAGAATTTTTTTAGGCTTCTCTTTTGCAACTGCCTGAGTTGCAGCTTACCAATGAGAATCATGGCTATACTTGATTTTCATTTGCAGATCAGATGATGTTTATGTCCTTTAAAATTGTGAACATAAATTCTTAGGGAAAATTAACAGCAATATTCGTAAGGAACTGGAAACCAGGAAATTGTGCAATCTCGATACATTAATGGACACACAATGCCTTTCATTTGCATGGAACAATTTATAAGAATGAAAGAAACTATGTCTCAAGGAACAATATTTATGTCCTTTAAAATTGTGAACATAAATTCTTAGGGAAAATTAACAGCAATATTCGTAAGGAACTGGATACCAGGAAATTGTGCAATCTCTATACATTACTGGACACACAATGCCTTTCATTTGCATGGATCAATTTATAAGAATGAAAGAAACTATGCCCCAAGGAACAATTCTTGGCCCTATTTTGTTTATCATCTACATAAATGACATCTCAACAGATTTGGCATCTACTGTTAAGATTTATGTAGATGATACTAAAATCTACCGAACAATCAGTTCGCCAGATGTTGATATCCCTGCCCTGCAGAGGGACCTAGATCGATTGAGTATATGGGCAAATAAATGGCAAATGCACTTCAATCTGGATAAATGCGAGGTCATGCGTATTGCACATAGAAAGGATAAAACTAAACCAATTTACT